TGAGCTGAATTAAATTATGGAAATAACTGCTAGTTTTCTTATTGCATCGCTGTTTCTCCTTTAATTTGGTAATAAAAAGAATCGCATCCTGTACTCTTGAGATGTGCAAGCTGGAATGGCTTAACAGAACGCTCAAGAACCCTCTTTCAGAGGAATCTTCAATGTCATGTTAAATTTGAAGGCAAAATGCGACGATTGTGAGGAATTACGTGGCCAGCCACAGCAAACCCTTGAGACACTTAAACTTCTATTGCAACTTAACTTATAAGCTCCATAGAAAAGATGCATGAGGAAGGAATTGTTTTTAATTACTGTAGTGGAAATTTAACCCCTTCTGCGCTCTTTTTCAACGTACGGATCTAAAATAGATCCTTACATTACAGTAGTGGTGCTTGAGCTAAGAGTGTTGCAAATGGTTGTTTGGGCGCTGCTTAACGCTGTTTGGTCTGAAAGATGACGCATGAAAATTTAGGAACTTCCCTCAGTGTATATTCCCTCTGAGATCGAGCAGACCTCTGGCGCCCTCATAAAGACCTAACAATCAGCTTCACATCGTTAAGCAATATGGAAGTGAAAAATGGTATTAAAACAATCAGTTTTTAAGTGATAAGAGTCCAGACAAGGATTAGTTTCTGTAAATTATAGAAGAAATGTTCGTGTAATAGTTGAGGCTTTTCCTAAACGTTAAGACTTGAAACAAATAAGGAGCAAAAAAGCGCCCCTGAAATTTAACAACTGAAGAAACAAGTGATCGTTGCCGCAATTGGCGTGACCTAAGTTGATCACGTTGACGCGTTTGTTGCGTAGTAACATGTAAGTGCATTTTGCGGAATTTCATCGTCGTAGAAGTAGGACAATCGTTCTACACAATTAGGTACAAAACTGCGAATTATAATGGCTGTTGAATGCTATTTGCCTCTGGTTCAGAAAGGGAGCAGGCTAATTCATTCATTTTAGTCCGAGCGCACCAACTTTTTAAGAGCCAACGCCTCGAAAAAAGATCTTTCCATAAGAGGCAAAATGCAGGGGGGTAGTCAAAAGAGTTGAATACGGGGAGGCTCCACCCCGCGGTCAAACCCCTTATTCTTTGATATACCATTTTTGACAGGAAAGGTACCCCTTTCGTCTACCCTCTATTGACAAATGGTAGCCCTTTCACATACCTAGATTATAGCTTTGCATCCCTTCAAACTGCTGTAAACGCAGTGTCTTTAAAATATGGATAAATCACAAAACCAGAACGTTTTTTCGATTTTTTCACAACCATAAAATGCATGTGTTAAACGGAAATAACAGATTTCCCTTCTCTATCCTTTCATATACTTCAACTGGTAAAATCACTACCCTTTCATATACCTGAGGCCTGCAAAAGGTACCCCTGTCGGGCGGACCCTCCCCTTGAAGGCCATTATAGGGAGTTCCCCCCCCGGGGGGCCAAACTGAAGACCTTGGCCTTAAAATCAAATTCGAGTCAAAATAATTCAAGTCACAGTCTTCATAAATCTTTTTTTGTATACATCACCGACAATTTATTAATTCCGTCTGTATGATTTTCCTTTTTCTTATAAATTGTCATGTCCTAAACGAGGCTGGAAAAACGAACGACCGTCTGAGTGTCGTGTTTACAAGGCGTATTTTTTTGAAAAGAAGAAGATCTAAATCTGAGAAATGTATGTCAATAAAAAAAGAAACAGTTTCCTTAGTTTGATAAAACACTAGTGACTTGTAGGCGTGTACTTTACTTTGCTTCTGAGGAAAGTTCTTCGTGAATTTTGCACGAAAAGTGCTGAAAAAAGTACCATTATTTTTGACAAAGTGTTCTTACGATATCGAACACCTGCTCCTAAAGGAACAAAGAAAAAAATTTAAAATTGCCTCGTCGTTTACGGCTCTAAAGAAGCCGATCGTTTAAAAGACACTTTCAGATTCAATTGAAAAAGAAAATCTTTTGTTTGAAAATTAGCCTACTTCCGTCATATTGCTATTATCACCCGGATGGCAAACATCTGAGTTATTGCTCACCTCCACCGGCGGAATTGACATTCATCTTCATTTTCAAATTGAAACGAGTCTCCCTACACATACTGCCGACTGCTTTTATTGAAGGAGTACTTCTGCAATTCTTATCCGTGTTGAACATTTGTTTATCTCATCTCATTGCAATTACTTCTCTTTTTTAAGAGGAACTGCAATGTGTGCAGGTAGCTAATCGCGAAATTAAATTGACGCCTGGGGTCGGATCGTGCTACTGCCTTTAGTTACAAAGAAAACGTAATTACTATTGTTTTTACCATTTATCGTTATACAGCTGTTAATTCAGAGGAAACATTTCGAATTCTTCATTTAGGCTGAAGGCTTTGACAAGATCTGATTTGACTATTTTATGAGTTTGTGGTCGTTTTTCAGTCTTTGTCACTCAACCCTCGCTACCTCAGTTAAACGCTCACTCAGAATCATTTGCTAGAGTGCGAATACAGTCAAAACTCATCAAATTAAAACGGACAGCACCGGGTGTTAAACGTGCCGGGTAAAACTGACTACCCCATTACTTTCGGAACCCGGAATAAAGCGCCGGTACTCCGAGAAAATTTTGTGGAGGTGTGCGACATGATTCCGGCCTTTTTAGGCCAAAATATGTCGTGATTTTCTCTTCCCCATTTCAGACCTAAATATGTTATTTTTCCTGCCCTATTTAAGATCAAACAAAAGCCAAAATGTGCGATTCTCTCCCTCTATTTCAGACCAGAAAATCAGGAATTTTACTTTCCTTGTTTCAGAATTAAACTGCTGTTCTCGAGAGGCAATTGATAACAAATGTATTTGCGGATATAATCCTCCTGAGGCACTGAGCCCGGATATGGGCTTACGGTAAAGA